AAATCCAGGAAAGGGCTAACAAGCTCATCTCGATTCGCTTGGCAAACTAAGCGGCTCTGGAAGCCCCGAGATCTCCGAGACCAATCTCAAGATCAGAACTGAATGCAAGTTGGCCCTCAATTCGATAGCTAGGACCTTAAAAGTACACCTACCCTGGGTACCGGGACACAAGGGCATCGAGGAAATTAAAAGCGGCGATGCCCTAGCAAGACAAGGTGCCTCAGAGTCCCCCTTTGGGCACGAATCCATAGTAGGAATTTCTCGATGCGTCGGCCTAAAGGCTCTGGATGACCTACTATGACAACAATTCCAGGGATCTTGGGAAGATGCAGGGGAAATGAGGCAGGCACGGCTCCATATCGAAAAAACCTAATCACACATCCTCTGCGAATGTCCTGCAGTGGCTCGCCAGTGAAAAATATGCCTAGGCTCTGCACACTTGAAGCCTGAGCAGCTAAAACACATCTCCCTGAACGAAATACTGAATTTCTGCGAAGGAATAGAGCTGTTCAGGAAATGATCATGGACAGATAAAATGAGGCTCACCCCCACCCCATCCCTTGGCCTGAGCCAGAAGGCCAGGGGGGCTCTAGCTGAGAGGAAGCAGATTCGGGAGCCGGACTAGTTGGAGCTCTAGCGTTGGGACGAATGGGGGCTCTGAAATGGACTCTGTGCTCGGTCGACGGGCCCGTGCAGGCTCAGGAGTCAGCACGGGCTAGATCGCTGGACCTGAGGGCACCAAAGCAGGGCTCACATGGAGATCCATTCGTAGAACTGACTGCACCAGAAAAGCGAGCAACCTGGCTCCTCTGGTAGTCTTTAATGAGCCGGGAGGGGGAACACAAGGGTACCTCATGAATGGATTGGAATCGCCGTCCTCCTACAGATAAGTTGTCAGAGGTGTGGGACGAAACAACAGGGGTAGCACAATGAATCCAACCGAGCGGTCTTAGTGAACTGAGGGCTCCATTGAGCTCGCCTCCTAAGTCCAAAATTCAAAATCCAAAATCCAAAATCCAAAAACAGGCTCCTCCCCAGTTTTTATGAAACTTGTTTTATAGCTCACTAAACCCAGTTTTTACATCTTCGAGCAGGTATCCAGTTCCACAACCAAACAGGCCCCCTCAGTTCTCATGAAACTGGTTCTATAACTTACCCAACCGGTTTACCTAACCAGTTTCCATCATACATAGAAAACAGTGTATGATCACGTTATGCAAACCAGTTTCTACACATTTCATAAAACAGGGTGAAATTGAACAACAAATATTGAATTTAGTTGTGTATTGAAGTAATTTTGTCAGTTTTATAAGTTGGAAAAAAAAAATGAAAAGATGTAATATACATCAGAATTTTGTACATAGAACCCACTAAACATTGTAATTTACAACAATTTGCAGCAAGTATGATAGTCTTTCACAATTGAAATCTTTCTTCGCGAGTTAAATGAGAATTTACTGTAAATTTGGTTATTTGCAACTTCCATTCGAAAATTGCCTGTAAGATGATTATTAGAAAGTTTTCAAAAATGAGCTTATTGTAACTTGAAAAAAATGAACTCACCACCACCTCGATATGAGAGTTGGCGTTAAACTTTCAGTATGTAACTTCACTAGTGAAAGTTTATAGTAAAATCATTTTTATCAATTTACCACAAGTAACACTCTACAAATTTATCATAAGTTACCATTAAGCTTATATGTATCACGTGATACAATTCGGATGCATGCGCAAGCGCAATAATTGTCTCTTTGTTCTCCTTCTTCACCTCTCTGCCATCTTGTTTTGTCTTTGCCAGTGAGTTGTGATGAGTTTTGGTGTTGGTGCGCTGTGTGATTATTTCATATTTTCTCAACAAATTACCTATCGAATGTTCGGAATTCAATAACCCTTCTAAAGAAAGATCATAGTTAAGCAGAAATGGCGGTAAGTGAATCATATTTCATTATCTTAATCATCGTGACTCTTTCATGAACCAGAAATAATTCAAGACTTGATACAGGTGGAAGAAAAATTGTGAAATATCAATAGACGTAATTACGATATATGATTATAACCGTCATGGAAACTTTTCCTATGAATATTTTCATCGTGCTTCCTTCTAACCAACCATTATAACACAATTTTGTAAACAAACATCTCAGATATAGGTACCTAACCTGTAAATGCTAAACAGAGATTGTTAAAAATGTTACAACATTCATGATGCTCTTTTGTTTTCATTTTCTACCTCCATGTTTTTGATGGTAGGTATAGGCACAGATTAAGGTTTGTTAATCTGTGGTATAGGTATTCATATTTAATATTACTGACTTTATAAAAGCTTGTTTCAAATACCTACCTCTACTTATCTCGAAAACCGTGAGGTTTTTACTGAGGTCAAGTTGTTGTTTTCTGATAGGTTAGGAACTTGTCTATTATGACCCAAGCATGGTTTACTGGATACTCTATATATACAGGGTGGACCATTTTAATCTATTATGGATATAATAGTTCTTTCCGGAAGCCGCTAACAAAAAAATGGCTTTGACAAAAGTTGAAGGGTTCAATGGGGGCCAAAGAATGGCCCTACTCACAACCCACCTCAGGGCACCCATACGGCCCTGCGATATGAACTTTTTTTTCCATGGGAACCGAGATGGGAACCCAATTTTTTCACAACGGATTCTTGTTCTACGGAGAAAATAAAATAAAATGTTTAGCAAATTTTTATTTGCGCCCCTTAAAGGGCCCCAAATTTCTAATTTTGGTATTTGAGTTGGAGAAAACAAAGAATCTTACTTCATTCATGCAATTCGTTAACCAGATTGAGGGTTTGCTTAAAAACATAAAGTAGTGCCAAAGTAGATTAGCAGGAAGGCCTAATTTTCTCCAACTCATATACCAAAATTAGAAATTTGGTGCCCAAATAAAAATTTGCTAGACATTTTTTTTTCACCGTAAACAAGAATCCGTTGTGAAGAAGTAGGGTTCCCATTGAAAAAAAAATTCATCTCCGTATGCGGGCCTGGGGAAGGGGTTGTGAGTAGATCTATTGTTTGGTTTCCATTGAACCCTTCAACTTTTGTGGAAACCATTTTTTTGTTAGCGGCTTCCGGAAAGAACTATATTATCCATAATAGATTAAAATGGTCCACCCTGTGTATGAATATAACAATTCTGAAACATTGAGAAAAAAATAGGTAATTTTTTTCACAATCATTCCAGCTGATATCTATTTATTTCTTTTCAGAATCTGTTCGTGCATCATATCCCAACATGGATGATAGCTTTTTGAGAAGATAGTGATGATTTGATTCCATTATGCTAAAACGAGATTTATTAGAAAAATTTACAACTGAAAAATCCTTTATCCTCCATACTCATAAAACTAATGTTTTAGTTTCTACTAGAATTTTTAATAATTTTTTATGAATAATCGTTATTTTTATTTGTAAAGATGATATAAAATTTAATAAAAATATATCGAAAAATGTATTGCTTCAATAGTGGTATTATCATCTCTTATCTTGAATTGTATTAATTTCGTTCTAATAATATGATTGGTAGAAACAATTATCTGCATGTGGAAATACTTTTGATACTGACAAAAGCCCGTGTATAATGTCATCAAATTTGATCAAATCATTTGATATAATGCCGTATTCTTCAATTCATCCGAATGGAACATTGTCGAATGTTTTTCAAGAATGAGATGAAAATGGCGTCACTTCAAACAAATTTGATGAAATTGTTGGCCTTTTTTATCAGTATCAAAAATATTTTCAAATTTTGCACCAGCCTACCAAAGTGTAATTTCAATGCAAATTCAGAATTAGCTCTTCTATAACTCATTATCCACTCGCCCTGATTTTGTCGTAAGTATTACTGGTATTTACAACACCATATAAAACAATTAACCTGCGAGTTTACCATCAGCTCAAGATACAATTTTCGTAAAAATTGCAGAGAGTTCTCAAGTGACAGCTATAATTTTTTGCAAGTTTACTGCAAATTATCTGAGAATTCGCAAAATAATCATTTAGAGTAAACTCACTGGAACTTCGGTATGAGCTGACATTCAATTTTCTGACAACTTCCATCATGTAAGTTTCCATTGTGAATTCCGTAGGAGGAAGATGCCATCTCTGAGTTAACTTGCTGCAAATTGAATGTGTAATTTACACTCGCAAAAATGCACTTGCTGGAAATTTGCAGTAAATTGAAATTGTTTAGTGGGAAATTCATCAACCTAATTTTCATCATCAGTATCAGTATTTTCATTCGTGTTACGGATTCGAGTAACATATCAGAATATCTTTCACGCTAATCGAAATCAACAGATTCACGCCCCCATGCTGAGATTTCTACAATTGCTGGTATAACATATCATGTATCATCATGATAGTGTGAATTCATGTTTCAATTGGAGGTACATTATATGTAAATATGAGCTGAAAACATACATTTTTCTATAAACCTTTTCTCTCTCCTCAAAGATTTGATCATGATTACAAAAATGAGTTGTTTTTTATCACACATTTCGATATTCCTTCAGCTTCATCTGTTTCACCTACAGCCAATTCAACACAATGAGCTTCGGAACCTGTACCATGAAAATTTTTCATGGATTCACCACCATACTCATCTATGAATTTTTCAATAACTGGCTGAGTTCTCGAAATGCCATAAATATTCTCATGTGTATCGAACCATGATTCTTCTTGATATAAGTATATACATCATCAGTATATCTATATGCAATATAAATCTGTATGGGTATAACAAGAAGCAACCTTCTCTCCATAATGTGGGCTTAAACAAACTCATAATAAAAATCGAACAGAAGTGCTATGCTCATGACGATATTTCACAGTGATTGTTTTCATTGACATTCAAGATGATTCAAATTGTCAAAATTTGATTCGAATAGGAATATCGATAACATTCAGCGAACATGTTGCTTGAGAAACCATGTATATTTTTCGAATTGTGTACCAACAGAGATATTTCCTATTTACCTTTTGGACCGTAGATCCACTGTCAAATTGTATATAGCATATTCACATCCCTTGGGGCAAACATTCAAATCTTGTTTAATAATTCCAAAATCTCTAGAGTCTATACTACCAGCTTCATCTATGTCTGATTCTTCAGAGCTTGAAGACGATGACTCCGAACTAGATTCTGAAATTAATAATGAAATTATTGATGAATGAAGTAATCAAAGTGGTAGGATGAGGGATATTGGTAATAATTTTCTCGAATATTGGACAAGTGATATCAGTAGCAACTGACTGTCGTCGACTGGTATTCGTTTAAAAATGTGTGAAAGGAGATCGCGCCGAGGATGATTTATCTAGGAAAAAGATGCTTCGGAGGATGTTTTTGCATCCAGGAAATGGTGACCTCGTATAAATGTGGCGTACTTCGTCATTATCGAAATGATTTCGTAGATGTGTGTATGTGTATTGATTCTCAAGGCTATTTGTAGGCATTATTTGTAGTAGGAGTGATGATGTATCACATATCCCAGTTTCTATAAATTCAGGCCATTGATCTCCAAGAGCATTGTTTACAAAAATACCAACCAGACAAATTCCTCTGATAACTGGAAATATTATATAATAACAGTTTTTCATTGTTAAGATTGCCTCATCTGGAAATTCATATTGATATTGGAAAAATTGGTTATTGAGGCGGAGCAATGTGAATAGGTGCAAAAAATGAAATGATTTTTCAATTCAAGTCTGGATGCAGAAGAGTGGTCTATTATTGGTATTGGTATTGGTAGGTTGGATGGTGACAGATGCGCTGCGACCTAATTAGATCTATTGTGCCCCATCTCCTCCTGCTATATCAAGGGTTTCCTGTTCATAGCAGCCCCTCGAGATTCAATTCCTTTAGGAATTTGAGGATTTTGAGGGGGTCTAGCTGTGGTATTTCTTCCACAGTCAGCTGGTGTGTTCCCAGTATGTTCAATCTTTTGTGATGTACAGCGTCACACAGTATGTGATGGGGTGTTTCTGGTTCTTCCTCACAGAGTCTACAGGTGCCGTCCTCCTGTAAGCCTAGCTTCCTCAGGTGTTCTTTGAGTCTGCAATGCCCCGTTAGAAATCCCGTTATTGCTTTGAGACTTCCTTTGCTGAGGTTTGTCAGTGTCTTAGATCTTTCTCGGTTGAAATTTCCGAGGAGATCTTTGGCCTGCCGTAGTCCTGGAAGTCTTCTCCATTGTCTGGCTCTCCAGGCTCCTTCCGCTTTCTCGAGTTCTCCTTGGAAATAGGAATTTCCAAGGCCGCAGAATGGCTCTGGTCCGATCAGTGGCGTTGAAGCCCCTTGTCGTGCCAGAGCATCTGCTTGTTCATTCCCCTCCACTCCGATGTGCCCTGGCACCCAGAGGAGGATGACTTTATTGTTGCTACCTAGCTCATTCAATTTGCTCAGGCATTCCCATACCATCTTCGAGTTGATGTAGGGAGAGCTCAACGCTTTGATGGCTGCTTGGCTATCGGATAAAATCGCGATGTCCTTCTTCCGGTATTTCCTGTCTAGGTTGAACTGGATGCATCTGTCTATGGCGTGTATTTCCGCTTGAAAAATGCTGTGGAATTGTCCCATGGATTCGAAGTATTTGGTGCGAGGCCCAAAGACTCCTGCTCCAGTTCCCTCGGGTGTTTTAGACCCGTCCGTATACCAAGTAATGGTGTTCCTTCCCAGTGATTCGATGGATTCTGTGCTCCATTCGCGCTTGTTGCTCAGCTCCACTCGGAAGTTCTTCTCAAAACTGAACTTTCTAATGATTTGGTCTGTTGGAAGATTGGCGAGGTGTGCGATCTCAGTGGGGGGTGAGCCCCTTACACTATGCGTTTTCCCTCTTAGTCCGACCTTGGCTAACCTGAGATGTGCTCCATAGGCAGTTTTCCTCACCACGATGTGTAGAGGTGTGAGATCCAAAATGACCTCTAGTGCTGCTGTTGGAGCTGATCTCATTGCTCCTGTTATGCAAAGACATGCCAGTCTCTGCACCTTCTCTAATATTTTCCTTGTAGTGGCGAGTTCGGTTCTGCCGTGCCACACTACTGCTCCGTAGGTGATCATTGGTGTCACTAGCATGGTGTACATCCATCGCAGTATTGATGGGTTACACCCCCACGTTTTGCCTGCAAGGTTCCTGCACACCATCAGTGATGATTTTGCCTTACTGGCGATCTTTTCTACGTGTCTATTCCAGAGAAGCTTTGAGTCAAGGATGAACCCTAGATACTTCACTTCTTGCTGCCATTCTAGGTCTTCTCCGTTTAGACGGACGACCCTTAAGTGCTGAACCTTCGTTCTTCTAGTAAAAGGTACCAGTGTGGTTTTCGTTGAGTTAATTCTAATCCCAACCGAATGGCACCATCTTCTGGTAGTCTCTAGCTCTCTCTCTATGAGGTCGCAGAGGGTTCCTTCAAATTTGCCTTTGGCCATGATGACTATGTCGTCCGCATATCCAAAGCAAGTTACTCCGTTCTCAGTGAGAATCCCGAGTAGTTCGTCTACTACTAGACTCCACATCAAGGGTGACAGTACCCCTCCTTGTGGACAGCCCCTGTTCGTACTGATTTGAAAGCTGCTCTCGCCCACTTTCGTTTCCGCTGTTCTCGTGGTCAGCATTTGACACATCCATCTGGATGTGGTTCTGTCCACTCCCTTGTTCATTAGAGCTCTCTTTATTGCTACAGGAGAGGTGTTGTCAAATGCCCCCTCTATGTCTAGAAATGCGCATATGGCGATTTCTTTATGATCAAGTGATCTCTGAATGTTTTCGATGAGCACGGTGGTCTATTAACTATTCAAATATATCTGTGAATTTTCAGTCAAAAATAATTGGTCCTCCAGGCTTATACCTAATTGTGAAATGAAGAACGAATAATAAAAACTTGTTGTTGCGGCCCTACGACATTTCCCCCTGAAACCGAGTTGTAATACCTTCATGACATATTCGATCAATATATTCAATGTGGACGATGATTCTCTTATTGTTACAAATGATCTCGACATTCTGTCGGGGGTCCGAGATTGAGGTCGGGATACGAAGGCGCTGGAAAGCCACCTATACATTTGTTTCTGAATCCCGACTTCAGAGTCGGGGGTCCGACTTCAGAGTCGGGAGTCCGAGATTGAAGTCGGGGGTCCGAAATTGAAGTCGGAATCCCGAGATTAAAGTCGGGGGTCCGAGATTGAAGTCGAAGGTCCGAGATTTAAGTCGGGATCCGAGAATGGAGTCAAAGGCCCCAGATTGAAGTCGAGGGTCCAAGATTGAAGTCGGGGGTCCGAGATTAAAGTCGGGATTCCGAAACTAAAGTCAGGAGCTAAAGTATATTCATTGAATATGTGGACAGAAATGAATAATTCTTATTGTTATTCATCAGTTTGACGTCAGCAACATGCTGCTGAATTTTCTACATGTACTCAAGAAACACCATGTACCATCAATAATTTTACATCCATTGGATAATCATCAAATCAGGATCCATTGAAATCCTCCTTTTCTGATGTACACTGAATGTCAAATAATGGATCACACCTGTACGATCATTATCATACGTATAGGGTGATTGTTTATATTTTACTCAATAGCTGAGAATCTCATTGTTGAATAGATACAGGAAAATTGTTAGAATCGGAGTTGTTCATAGTCATATGGAATTTTTTGTATATATATTGTCTATATGCCTTTGACATACAAAACATACAGTGCGGGACCCCCGACTTTAATCTCGGGATCTCTACATCAAAGTCAAAGACACTAGGTTTTTTACCTAACCGTGGAAGGTGTACTAACTGCGCAGTCAATGTCTGTCATGGTTCACATATGTTGATCCTATGTTGAAACCCGACTTTGAAGTCGGGATCCCGAGAATAAAGTCGGACCCCCGACATTAGAGTCGGGATTCGAAAAAAAAAATATGGGTGGCCCTTCAGCGCCTTCGTAGAAATTATAGTTCCTCATCGCAATTTCACATGAGTAAAAAAATAAACCTGACACGCAGTTCTCATTTCTTTGTGTGAATATTCAAGCCTATATGCACTCATTGCGTACCCCGGAAAGGAACCTCAAGGTGTCATCGCAGTAAGTATTTTGTCTCCAAGTTGAATATGAACTGACAATTAATCCATACCCAGGAATAGGGGTGGGCGATAATGATTTTGAAATATCGATTATCGATATTCATGATGTATCGATATTATCGATAATTATCGATATCATCGATAATATCGAAATAATCGATATTACCGATATAATTATCGATTATCTTGAGAATTATTGATTTTTCTGATTATCATTGATAATCTTTGGAATTATCGATTTAATTGAGATTCTAAAAATATTAGAATAATAGTGTCCATTTGAAATTTAGAAGTTTGCCATCACAACTAATAAGGGTTGCCACGTTGCCAGATGTCAGATAGCTTCAGACAAGTTGCTGTGCTGGAGTCCTATGTAGTTTGAACAAGGCTAATGTACAGGGTGGCGTGTCTTATTATATTTTCATTCTTACCTCAATTCTTACCAACAGGTATCTGTTTTATACAGGGTGTTCCATATAAAATACAAAAATACCTATTATTCTGATGCTCATTCATTTTGATAATTTTGATAATATCGATAATATCGATAATATCGATATTATCGATAATATCGATAATACCGATAATACCGATAATATCGATAATATCGATAATATCGATAATATCGATAATATCGATGATATCGATAATATCGATAATATCGATAATATCGATAATATCGATAATATCGATAATATCGATAAATCGATAATTTTTCTCCAAATTATTATCGATAATTATCGATAATTATCGATAATCATCGATATATCGTTAATTTTTCCCACCCCTACCCAGGAATATGAAATTTCAGAAAAATATTTGATTGTTCCGCCCTATTGATGATAAAATAATATAAGTCATTTTTAAACTCCGCACGAAAGATATTCTTCACAGATGATCTTCAAACACACTTTTTGTGCCTTTGAATTGTGAATTAAGCAAAATAATTCTGCTACTGGAAATTGTCATTGCAAACACAAAGTTGTGGAAAAAATTACGGCCATCCAACATCTTCTTTGATTGGCTTCAAGCATAAATGAATATATGAATCCTAAATAATGAATCAATTTTCAGTGCTTCAATTGTTTGAACACTTAGGAGCTACCTGTTATGGCTTTTCGTTAATATCTCAGGAACAGCAATTGCGATTCTATTTTTTAAATCTTTCTCCTTATCAAATTCTCTAAAAATAAATTACTATCTCTTTTTCTTGTTCGGCCGATACCACAACGTGACCATGTAGGGTGATATACAGGGTGTTTCGAAATGCGAACGATAACGCTTGACAGGTGATAGCCCTTGTGATTTTATGGTCACTAACATAACAGGAACATACGGTGTTCAAGTGCTCAGTTCAAGTGTTTAGTTCTCGAGATACATGGTGTGGAAGTAAAGAATTAAAAATAGTTATTTCGCAATAACTCATCAAGCATGATTGAATATTTTGCATTCGAATTCGGCATATGGTTCCATCTTCAAATGAGTAAATCATTCCGAACATTAACTCCAGTGGTGCGCAATAGGAAGAGGAAGGTGTGGTAGCTTTTTCTCCGATATTCTCTACGCCACTGATGATATTTCGATTATTTTCAATTTCTAGGATTCATTATTTGATTCTGTTTGAACGAAGCATTACCTCCAAGTTCATTATTTTCAGTAATAGAAAATCATGAAAATGTTGTTCTTTTCTCCCTGCATGACATAATGATCTCTGTTCAGCAACGTGAATGATATCTTTGAATTATCTTTTCTACTCGATCACCAACAAACAAATATTTTTGTTAGTTTCTTCCACTGGAAATGATGAAAAATTACCATGCAATCTTCTATTTTGGGCTATCAGCACATTTATGCCCTACAAATCTCCAGGTGGTGACGGCATTATACTGGCTACCCTACAACAGGGAATCGAGGAGATACTGCCCGTACTGGTTCGATTATTTCGAGCCAGCTACTTCTTTCGCCACATTCCGCAAACATGAAGAGTGGTGAATGTGGTTTTTATTCCAAAGGTAGGTAAACGTCCCAGCGATACCAGCCCAAATCCTATAGACCTATTGGCTTCACTTCGTTTCTCCAGAAAACTATGGAGAAACTACTTGATCAACACATCAGAAGCAAAATTCATCAATCAGGCAAATCTACAGAAACCGCCTTTAATAGTCTGGTGTGAAAGATTGAAAAGGCACAGGTAGATGAAGAAATTGCTCTGTGTGCTTTCATCGACAGAGAAGGAGCGTTCGATAACACTTCCTATGAATCGATAGAGCGAGCCACAACCATCTAGAGGCTCGAGGCCCCAACAACAGGCTGGATACAATCCATGCTCAGAAGTAGAAGAATAAAAGCTACACTGGGAAGCAGCTTGGTAACTGCGCAGGCCACTAGACGTTGCCCCCAAGGAGGAGATTGACCTCCTTTTAGCGGACACCCTGTATATCCAATTTTCTCGTCCATAACTATATCTGAGAATATTCCTTTTCAATATTTTCAAACAATCAAGGGGTTCAAACTTGAATGATGAAAACTTGTTATTTTCATAGACCTTCAATCGCAGGTTTGTGATTAGGTTTTCTAAATTCAGAATTTCTTTCTACGTCCTGTATGATGAATATCAATTTATCATACATTTAAAAACAAATGGAATCTGAGAGGTTCTCTTATCGCATAGTGTAAACAATTGAGACAGAAAAAAACACGTTGTACTTCCCTATAAATATTACTCATTGAAACTCACCATCCACATCGGCTTGCCTAGGAGGCTTATATTTTTTTCTGAAAACTTTTTTCAGAAAGTCGTAGAACTTATTATTCTCTGTTGCATGTCTGAATTTTTCTTGGATTTTCATCTCATCCAAATGCATATTTTCTATCAACAATTTATATTCTTCTTGTGTCATTTTGAAGACATCAATTTCATCTTGCAAGGTATGGACGAGTTTGAGATTATCGTTTACTTTTTGAAGGAGTACATCTTCCCCATCTTCGAATTTTTTCAATACATTAAGTTCTTGGTTCAGTGTATGTATGTACATATCGATGAAATTGCCACCAACGTGTATTGGCAACCTTTCTTTTTTGGCCTCTTCTATTATATTGTTGTAATCATCTATCTCCTCGTTTATGGATGCTATGGTCTGCTCTTGTTCGAATAGTTTTCTACAAAATATAAATGAGAATTGAATCGTCATTTCCTCAGCAGTAGCAATAGTGGGTATTCCTGACATGATATATTATTATTTTCAACCTGGCGTTTTGGAGAAAAAATATTCATTCGAAATGAAATAAGAGAGTGGCACGTTAATTTCCAAATCCTATTTCTGATACAAAATATTCATGACTCCAAGAGAGTACAGTTGTATTTTTGAGAACTCTATTCAGTATACCATAGATATCGCAGCTAACCAACTCATTTTGTATAGAAAGCCGAACGTTTTGCACACTTGTTCGTGAGACACAAATGCACCTTTTTTTATAATTATTGAGGTTGAAATGTCTGAGATAAGGGGATAAATTCGACAAATATTATCAAGTATAGGAAAAACACATAAAATATATATTCCATCGAGATTCTCTCCTAGTGTCTATGAATGATTTGTTGTAAGTGAAAATCAGATTGGTCCTTAAAGAGGAATACAAAAGAAGTAGTTAATCGCTGGTCAGTTACACATTTTTTGTACAAATGTGAGAATGTCAAAGAAGAAGAGGAGTATTAGTATAGATATATCAAAAACGTATAATTTCTACTCAGCTTTGGATGTTCCGGAAATGAATCTGCTTCTGCTTCTCAACATAAAGATAGCAAATATTATTTTCAGTTAATTGTATTCGGATTTATGTGACAGGCTTTCCTCAGTGACAGATGTCGATGTGAGTTGAAGGATGTCTTCATCAATTTAATTTGAATAAATAAACGCTGTTTTATCTATGTAGGCGATTCTTCATGGGATATTGTGAGTTCTCTGACACGAAATGACAAAATAGGCAACGTTCATGGTTTACAACATTTTCATTCCACCAGTTTTTTCAAATGAATGTGGTAAGCAGCTCAGAAAACAAGATGAATTATTCCATTGGAAGTTTCATGAACAGTTTTCTTCATCAGACATACAACACCCCATATACCTTTCTGCGACGAATTGACGCGGTCGGTAATTTCAACACGGAACTCTAACGGCACGTTTTACATAATGTTCCTCAAAGTCCTGCCAGTTCAGGCTGGAATTTCAGAATATAATGTCTCCAAAATATTCTTTTGCAAAAATGTATTCTTCCATTTCGTTCTGTTCTTTGGTCTTCTATTACCTATTTCAGGGTTCGTTCCAATTTTGAAAACACCCTTTTTATAAAAGAATACTATGCCATAACATTAATGATGATGATGAGAGTTCATTCCAAACATACATTGGAACATACAGATAGGTATTTTGAATAAACTAATGTTGCAACAACAATTCATTTCATGGGGTATATTATCGAGTACATTATATTTCAAACATATACCTGATATAAAGAAATTATGATTATGTGATTTTTGGGCTACTGGATAGGTTTCATTCAGCGCTTCGTATACCACGGATCTCCATTAGGTTGAGATATTAGTGCGAGACTTGAAAAAAATATGAAATCTTTGAAAAGGAACTTAGGGGATAGATAAAAAACCCAAAGTCATCCTCACAACTTTCATTGAAATGATCAAAGATCATCAATGGTACATGTTAATAGCTAGAGCTAAATGGCTGGTTATTTCCGAAGCCACATCATAATTTTCATGAGTTTGATATTTTCTTGGGTAATTGCCACTTTTCGGTGATTTAAGGGTATGTGTGGGCCCTTATAATATATGAACCCGACCCTCAAATGACCATTTCATAAGAATCTTTGAATTTTTTATACTTTTTTATAAAAACACAATTTTACATTAACAATCATGGAGCAGTTGCCTTTGTTTGCTCTGTTATTGTCCACGTTACTTGAATTCAAACTTTTTTCACTTCCATAACTTTAAACTATTTTATCGGCTGATGATGGGCTTATATAAGCCCGAAATATGTACCATTGATGATCTTTGATCATTTCAATAAAAGTTGTGGAGATGACTTTGGGTTTTTCATATATAAACTACACCACTCCACTTTGAGTTACCATGGACTTCTTCCAAAGATTGAACTTCGGGGAGATTACATGGATTGTCGCTCAAATTGAAATTTGAAATTAACGAATAATACGAGCTTTCAAAATCCTATCATAATCTGTCTGTTTGTCTGGACTTTCTCATGTTTCCTGCTGGCCAGCCATCTGGATGCACGTTCTGGATTTTCTGGGATTGTCGGTTGCACTTTTGAAGGAAAATTGCCGACTCGGCCGTCATTCCAGGAAAGAACCATTGTCCATCTTGATGAGGACGAGAGAACCAATGGTCGAGGGAACTGATTCATCGGTCCATTTCGTTCTCTGATGAAGAGTATGAAGGTACTCTTCAGACCAATTTTTCCAGATATCTTGGTTCATGCGACTAACATGTTGCCATCTAGACAGGCGGTTAAGTGGAACGTCCCATCAAGATAGGGAGGCGAGGTCAAGGGGCAAAAGGAAGAAAATGGCCTGAAGTGAGTACCGTTAGGTCATCAGTGTCGTTGCTGAATGGGGTTAGGGGTCGTGTGTTCAAGATTTACTCAATTTGAGTGAAAACCGTTAGCAACTCTTCAAAGGTCAACACTTGATTCCCATCTACACGAACGAATAAGATTCAACCAATTTTACTCCTAATTCTCAAAATCCTCCAGAGTTAGGAGCTGGATAGGTGTCAAAGTGCAAAACTATATTTTCTTGTGAAGGTGAGGTAGCAAACATTTAGTTCAGTTGCCAATGTGCAATAACAGAGTTATTGCCACAATCACTATACAAGTGCTCATAACGTCCTAGTCGAGAAAGGAAAGGTCTCAAGGCAGCTGAAAAGGAATCAGCGGACAGGTTTGACACAGATTCCAAATGAATCGCCTCAGTAGCCACATACACAAACAAGCAACTATATTCATTTCACTCGATTACTTTGGATTTTCTCTCCTCGTTTTTATAAAATGAAAGTATTGGTTTTATTTCAATGTATGTGTAGTAGGACAAATCAGATCTGACTGCGTTCAACAAATTTTTCTATCAGGGAGCCTGAGAGAAATATCCAATAGCTTGTCAGTATCACTATGTGTGGAGAAGTTAAGAGGAGAAATATAGATATATTGAAAAAATATCAAATTCTTACTCATCATTGGACGTTTCGGAAACGAATCTGCTTCTGTTCTGAACATAAGAATGCAAAATATTTTCCTTCGAAAATGTTTTGACACCTCTCAGTGACATCTGAAGTTGGAATATGGATGAGTGATGATGTTAGTATACAAATGAGTTACATGATGTTTCTATCAATTTTTGTATGACACTATGTATATTTGGAATCATTAAACCAATATACAATATAAAATATGAAAAGTTCGATAAAACGGCCGACATTATTTATTCTTTATATTTCTCGTGTAACGTTTCGGTGTAACATTCGCGTATGCCGTTTTTTCCTTCCTCACCCTGTCCACCCTTTTCAGCATAGATTTGATGATGTGGGGGCTATCATTAGAACTCTTCTTGAAAGACAATCTTGAGACTCTTTCGCGAGATGATGGTCTGGTTTGGTGACGATTCGAATGATGAGACGTCCTGTAGAACTGACATCTCATTTCTTGTGATCTGTTTCACTCTACTGAGCCTTTCATTATTACCTTCATTATTGATAGTAGTACTCTCATCTTTATTTCCTCTATTTCGCGTCCTTGCAACCTTCTGCTCGTAGAATAGGATGTATGCTTCTCCATTCACGATAGATGTATATGATTTCTGTGAAACATTGTACTCGTTCCATAAGTCAGTGTGCAGTGCAGTGTCCAGACAAAGTTGCTCCACTATGATGAGATACAGCATATAGATTATATCTACAAAGGATTTCATCATTTGCTGCATAATTTCCCATATCAAAATCTTCTCTCTTCTACGTTAGATATAGTCGGGAACCATTTATTTCGAAAATAAAATGTAAAAACTTTCTAAAAACTGAACAAGAAGCAATGCTATTGTCTCCGTTCAGAAGAATGCAAGCGGATCCCTTGATTTTTCTATTCTGATTGTTATCTTTCTTCCCTATGATTTCAATATTATGTCAGTCTGCCACATGTTGTCCATTTTCAGTGAGGATAGGTTCAGTCAGCTTCGCTTCATCGATATGTCTTTTTTCGATATTGTTCTCGTGATAAATCATCCCTACTGAGAAAGGGGTCTTCACCTGTACAATACTTTCCACAAACACGAGGTATACTATAAATACAATTTTTCGATGATTTTTCTTCATTTTCTACTTGCATACTTCTGAACGTAGACAATAGCATTCCTTCCTGGTCAGTTGAAATAGATAGAACATGGTATTTTCTATAGTTACTAGATGGTATTATTCAGATAAGAGTTCGGACACAGCTGAACTCCTGCCCTTTTCTATTTTCTATATAACAATGGTTTGAGTGAATCAAAGAATGATAAATATATTCTGCTCTTTGTCTTTTCAATTTCCCTAGTAGCGCCTGATTGTCAGATACGATTAAAGAGGTTAGATTTTCTGTCGAATCAATAATTGTCATTGATGGAAAATAATTGAAGGGTATGAACACCCCCTCCAATTCATATAGCGATACAATTTTCGCAGAACAATTGTTATGAAGATGGAACAAATTCATGTTACAATATTTTGATATGACAAAATATAATACACATATCGATGATTCTAGTCAGTTCCTTATTGTATGTGAAACTGTAACGTAGTGATATAGTTTACTACATGAAGATGGTTTTGATTTTCCACATTTTGCTGCATTCACTTCCCACTAATAAATTTTGAATTTGGTCGGTATCGAAAACGTCGCTCAATGAAATTATATCACGTTAGAATTTACATGATTTCCTCAGTTTAGTTCTCAAACTTTCAATTTTATTGAGTAGTTTTGCAATAAATTCCTTTTTCCTAATTTCGTTTTGCATTTCGTGTGATGATAATATTATTTTTTTTGCAATAGTCTGTTTTGTAAATCGATGGAACAGCCTTAAATATAGTTTCATCCCAATCT